AGGGGAGGGGAGGAAATCTTCAGCAAATGCTGAAACCCCAAATCAGACCAAAAGGAGCTGAAGAACCAAAGCAGCCTACTGCAGCCTAGAAGCAGCAATACTTACAATAGTGCTACCTTGAGGGGGATGTAGTGCATTTCCATGGGTGTCCGGATGAGTTCAACCACATCTGGTGCATATTTATCCAGCTCTATTAGGAGCTTTTGCTTTTTGAACTGAACAATGGAGAATGAACAAAGACTGTCAGATGAGGAAAGCCATTACTTCTTATCGCTCAGCATTGCCATTACTGTGGCACAGTATATATGAGCTCCAGGAGTGAGCCAAAACTCATGTTATGAGAGGTGTTGTACAAACAGAACAAAAGCCCCCTCTCTCTTCCCAAATACTTAACAACTGAAGTGGAAGTCATGAGAAAGCAGATAATTTCTACTTATTTGAACTTCCTTAAGACCTGTGTCTAACTCTTGACACAGCTGACAGTGAATTCACCACATTAGAGTTTAATACTCAATCTTCCTAAAGCTTGTCTGGATCTCCAATGAAAAGTTGATTCATAATTTCACTGTTCAACATACAAGCCCCTAAGAAACCCAGTCACAGAAGTCTTTGTTATTTTGAAGAGGGATACCTCTATGCCCAATGTCCTTTAGGGTCCCAAGATCCCTCTCTTTAATCTACCTTGTTCTATGATGCTCTCTATGGAGACAAAAGAGAAATCTTAATTATTAACCTACTGAACTATGTCATGGTGAGACAGAAGGACAGAGACACTGGCAATAAATTCTCAACAAGCAGAGTAACTCACATGCAGGATTTTTACATGTCTGCAGTTCTATCATGAGTTATTTCTTCAACCTCAAAGTCAGAGGACAAGGAGCAAGTATGCAGCTGGATGGAAGACCACACAGATGCTGTAGAAAATGCAGCCTCCCCGTTCATGTTGCTACTGAATCACTACCCCTCTAGGATCGCAGAGAGAACAGCATTGCTTACACAAAATGTTCTTGGAGCTACTTATGAGAGGAAGCTGGGAGGAATCACTCACCTCGAAATACATGTACTTGTAACTTAAACGGAACAACATTTGGTGTTAAGACTTCCACCTTGCTCGGTAGAATGATTTATGTCACCTCCGCATCCTTGGAAGGCCTATTCCTTCCTTTACAAATTTCCAGTCTGTGTACTAACTCATGCTGTGTGCAAACACCAACCGTGCTCAGGGTAAGACATTCCAGGCTCTAGCTACAAAACGTACACAAGATTGTGGCAGGAGCGGAGGTGAGAAAAGGGAGTGCTTAAGTCTTGTCAGAAGTCTTGCCAAATCCATAGTCCAGTAATTAAATTCTCCATACTGCAAACTGCCACAACAACTGAAGGTGGGTTTTCAGTACATGTTCTGAAATCTCACATCGCATATTGTGTACCGTGGCCCTCGACTTGTCTGCATTTCATTGGCTATTGCATTCTCACAAATTTCTCAAATCCTTTAATACTCCTTTGGATGAAAGAATCTGCACTGCTGTGATCATCATGCAAGTGCTGTGAGGTAGCTACGGACACTAACTTGTTTCATACTGTAATAATGCCGCAACAAAACTTAAAATACCTCCGCTGTTTACCACATTCAGTCCCCATGTTTATTGATCATCCAGATGTGATCAGATTTACTGCAACAAGGACTGGTTGATACTGCATCCTCTGGCACACGTTTTCTTTGGTACAAGATATTTATTCTTGCTGGGAGAAGAGGATCAGCAACACTGACAAGTCAGCTTACCACAACTTTGTTGAAGTCCTGAATGGCCAAGTAAAGGGCAACAGCAGTTAGCACATCAGTTATCTAAAAAAGCAAGGCATAGACAGACTGACTATAAGCAAAATAAACAAATGGAGAAAGAGATATTGGACAGTACTGCAATGCTGAATAAGACTGTGACGTGACTCAACTCACAAGAATAACAAGCTTAAAAAACACTACACTGCTGATTTGTACACTGTGCTCACACACCACCGCTTAACCTTGAAGCCATGAGCGTATCAAAGATATGAATATTTACAAAATGAGAGAATGGGGAATGAAGGGTAAAGAAGTATGCAAGGGTCATAGAATCACTGGTCTAATTCGAGCACAGGCAACACTGGGGCAGTGCCCAGCTGACTAAACCCACCTGTCCGTTAATCCAGCATGACAGTGCCTTGAGCTGTCCCAAACTTACCAGACAGCAGTACAGTCATCTGAAAAATCAGCACAAGCATAACGCAGATGGCCGTTAGCTCTGCCTAAGACCTGCCCAGCAGGGATCTGGGGACAGAGGCTCCACCAGGTGGCATGTGCAGCCAGCTATATGATTTCTGTCCTTCTGAATTATGCAGAACTCAGAGAACAGTTTACCAGAGACATTTGGAGGACTAACCGGTTTGTGCTCTCTTTGCAGGCCTGGGGTTTGGCAGTGCGTTTTAGTGAGAAACACTGCAGTGTAGGGATTAGGCTGGGGGGACAAGATATTCTGACCTTTAAGAGATATCTTTGAAATTTGAAACCAAATGCCAGCTTCCTGTCCCCCTGCAGGAATATTTATCTAACCAAGAACTCACAAAAAAGAAGCAGTATGTACAACAAGGGAAAAGCCCAACTGTGGGTTTGTACAGGCAAAGCTGCCTTTCTAATTAAACTGTGAGCTCAGCAGG